ACTATGTTGTAATTTCTAAAGGTAATTTTTGTCTCATGGAGACTAATTTCTGATATTTAGACTAGTAGATGATTCTCTCAGCAACACTTCAGAAATCCATCTCATAATATTTATACTACTTCATCAATTTCCCTAAATTAATCTCATTTCTTCATATCACTTGTGATATAGATCTGCTGTTAAGGTAGCATTCAGCAGTGAAAGCTGTCATAAGAAATATCTTTCGATGGTCATATGCATGTATTTATTGACTTCCGAACCAATATACTAACAAGCTCTACGTGCTTATTACATATTAAGACTTCAGCCTTCTTACAAGCTAAACCAGACGTGGTGTTCTCAAGCGACAACCTTGCACTTTCCACTGATCGGCTCCCAAATGGCCGGTAGGAGAAACCTCCGGCCACCGGCGCCGAAAGCGTTAAAGCTGGCTTCGCTCTTGTCATTGATCAACAGGTTTCCGGGATTCCCCGGATAGGCACCCTCCCCGAATATTCCGGCGCAGGCGGTGGCGGCCTCCAGTGGCGCAAGCCGGTCGCCCTGGTAGTAGCCATCGCGGAATGGGTTCGTGACGGCCCCAGCAATCACCGTGGCGATGTTGATAATGGTCCCGTCCACGCCGACCCCGTTCGGCGCCACCAGTGGCGGCCCCGGCGGCCCGTATGCCGGGGCAGCGTACGGCCATGCGCAGAGGCCGGGGCACTGCGTCCTCGGGTCTCCGACGTGGGCCATGACCACCCGTTTCCCGGTCGGCATCAGAACCGTGCTGTGGAAGCCGCATGAGCTCGTGCAGAACTGACCGACGGTCACGTCGGAGGACGTCAGGACCATATAGACGCCGGTGGCGTCGAGGGGCAACGAACCTTTCACCACGGAGCTTCTCACCAGGTCGACTAAGTTGGAACGGGTGAGAGATCGTCCCAGGGAGTAAGCCCGGTCGGATGTCTGGGCGGCGACCTCGACGGTTGCTGACGCAGGCTTCCCGGTGTAGTCTTTGTACTGTTGCACGGTTGACCACCATTTTGACACAGTGGGTTGCGGCGAAGGCGAAGACCGAAAGGAGGCGAAGAAGTCGGAGACGGCGGCTCGGTGGGCGGCGGTGAATGAGCCATACCATATGATATAGATGTGGATGGGTGAGCTGAGGAGGGAGCCATTGTGGTAGTGGAGGGTGGTGGAAAGAGCGGCTAAAGAAGAAGTTGGTGGTAGAGCCAAGGAAGCAAGGATAAGCAAAGTTGGAAGCATGGTTGTAGTGGACTTGGCCATGCTTTTTAAGTGTGGTCTTCATGTTTCGGATGTGGCTGCCTCTTTATAGAGGCTTGGAGTTTGGGACTACATGGAGATTGGTTGCTGAATCAATGATGATTGATTGAAGAGATATTGTTTACAATATTTTTTCGATTGTTCTGAGTTTACTATAAAGTATTTCATAAAGATTCTAGTTATACAAAATAGTGACTCTTAGATAATATTTATCATATTCCTACTATCACATGCTTAGTTGAAATTATTTAAGTTATAAGGCACCGTTGCATTATCCATAGTTCTGAACGAGTGATGGAAGTCTTGATTTTTCATAAAGAGGATAGCTTTATAAGTAATTCGGTAAACACTTGGTATGTAAGAGAGAAAGAAGAAAATAATAACTTTAGAAGGTAAACAAATAGTTGTAAGTTTATAAATGACTACTCATCAGGTGTCAGACACGTTGGCAGGTTCTTATAGGTTTTACGTGCGAATTTGTGAATCTAATTAATGTCCAATATTATCCCAAACTTCTATCTAGTCTTATGTCACTTGGGTGATTCTATGGTGCTGAGATGATTGATATTTTGTACCATAATACAATATATAGAAAACAGACACACGAAAATTGGACCATTTTAGGATAGTTTTATCTATTCTAGTTTTATCCCTACAAACTATTTTTGCTTATAATTTTTAAGAAAAAACATATAAAATAAAATAAATATGTCGTCAAACATATGTATAAGCAAACAAAAGTGACGAATGACTCATAGATGTAGGTGTTGCGAGTGCACGACGATCATCCGTGATATTCTCCCCCACTTAAATTGTCAACACCCTCATTGACGTCTTGTTGGGAGGCTTTAATAATTGTTTCTTCGTGTCGTAGGGCACCTTTAGGCTCTTAATCGGCTTCTATCCGGGGAAGCTTTTACCACTTCACCAAGTACTCAATTTGCTCTACACCAGTAGCTTTGTCATGTAATCCACTAAATTGACTTCAACTCGCTTTTCATAAAAGGCTTTGGTAGGGGGTAGACAGAGTTGGAATACTTCAAAAAGCATCTTATGGATCTGAGTAGTAGATTTTAAAGTTACTTACATGGAAAATATTATAAATTTTGAATTATGTTAGCAGTTGCAACTTGTAAGAGATATTACTTATTCCATTGATAATTGGGAACTTGTAAGAGATAAAGTTACTTGCAAGGGCCCTTCCTGTACACCAATTTCTTATGGACTTTATGTCTAAAAAAATAGAGTGATACTGGTTGGAGCTTTACTAGTATCAAGTTGTCGATTGTCCATTTCTTTTTTTTTTACTGCCTTCTCCAAATAAAATCAAATAATATTTACATTTCGATATCATTCCTTTATAAAGTAAAGTGATATAGTAATATTGCTGGTTATTATATGTGACAGTAGGGACATAAAAGAGTCATGTGATATATACTAAATTTGATCTATGTTAATCTTGATTAGTTTAAGTCATATTCATTGTTAAACTTTAAAATTTCAATATAATGAGTAGTCTAAGACTCTTTTTGGAATTTGATATAAAAAACAATGGCACATAAATAACCCAGTGACACATCAGTTTGTTCGATTGATACATCAATCGGAATTTGGCCCCATGAGATTGGTAACATGGCACCAAGAAAGATACTGATTCGATGTCGATAGTTGACAAACCTGAGCTTAGAACAAGCGGTTATACTGTAACCACAGCTCTTATAATTTGGCATACGATCTCACAAATTGTTGATGATCAAATTACTCACATAATTTGTAAATAAGACTAACTTATAAATAAAAATTGATCAGCTCTGAACTCACTAAAATTAATCTTCTATATTAAAAATTCATGAGGAAAAGAAATAATCTTATAGAATACAATCTTTATGATCAATCAAAGACATATTTAAGTTGGAATCAGGATTTGTCCGGTGTAACATCACTGGTCCTACTAATCTAATGAAAGATTCGATCGAAGACTAATCTTCGATATGCTAATCGAGACAAGGAACCTACTCTACCTCTTCACGATAAGCTACTTGTTGCCGGAGCAAATTAAGATGACCTTAGTCCAGCTAGAGGTCAATCCATGTTGCTGAAGCACGAAAGATCGAAATAGCTAAGTTATTCAAGGATTGAACAGTGATTGATGTGTTGGTGGTCGAATGAAGTTTTCAGCAGATTTTATGTTAGGATATGACAGAGTTATCAATCAGAGTCTAATATAGGTACACAGTTTGCATGAACTAAAAAACCCTTCCTCCACCTCACATATGATTGTCATTATAGCCGTGAGGGGCTTAATATGGTCAGTGAATTGGATATGGAAGGATTTGCTGTGAAATCAAACAAAAAGTGCAATCACCACAAGGAGTAGTGTGCTTGCAAATTTTACGATTTTAATTGGATCACACGCAATCTCCCTTTGGAATTGCATACAATCGAATGAGAGAATTGATAAGGTGGCTCCCAGAGATCCATCCATATGTTGGTGCTGTGAATGCAAAATATGGCCATTGATTAGTTTAAACTTTTAGAATTTATTCTAGATAAGCTTGTGTGCAAGAGGGGATAAAGATTTTGATTATGTTGCCTAGCATTGAAATCTATACAATTTAATTATTAGAGAAACATTCATCGTCGTACCATATGCATCACATACTAAAGGACGAGAGATTTTATTCAGATTAGTAGTGTCAAGATATCAAATGATTAAATTGTTGAGGGAAGATCTCTCGTATTCATATTTGATGGTGTGGTTATCGATGATGTCTCTCTCAACTCGACTTGATCTTTGGATGTTGTTAGGAAGTGATTTACAAGAAGACGAGTGAATACTCGAAGATACTCGTATAAGGATTGAGATAAAAAAGTGGAGTCACGATTGAATAGTAATTAACTTTGATAACGATATGATTATCATATCATTGGGTCCCACCTCTGGTGTCGATTAGGGGGGTTGAACTTTCCAACTATCAGTATTCTTATCATTTAGAAAAATATTTATTGTTTTTATTTGGAGATGACGGTATGATTGGGCTTCTCGGACTTTAAGAGGTCTTTATCATTTTTCGTGACACATTTGATGTGTTGACGGATTAGGCGATGCTCGTTTTCTCTCACATTACCATTTAACCACAGCGTAGAAATAGAAAGAGAACTGAATGAAGTTAATCTCACTCCCAAGATGAAGCCCTCACACCTTCGTTGACAATGAAATCATTTCATCGGAAAACTTATGGCCTCGTAATACTCATGGAAATTAATTCAATTCATTAATCCATCCATTTCTAATCTATCCAATTAGATCAAACTAAATATATGATATTTTTTAAAAATAATATTTTTATTTGATTTGAGAAAATAATTTTTCTCTATGATATTCCTGCTTGATTTATAATTTTTAATAATATTTAGTTTTAAGTAGATATTGAAGTTATTATACATGTAAAATATCCCTAAACTAATCGCTACTACAAGAGTTGACCTTTGGAGAATCGTCCATTTTGATTTCAATCACCATTCCATTTGGCCAAATCACGACAAGAATCTATTCAAATATTTCGTTCATTACAACCTGAAGAATCGAGGATAAGCAACCATCGCATGCCAACTGTGCGCATTCCATTCATGGACGAGGCGATCTTCCCACCGCTGGCCTCTAGATAAGAACAAAACCCTCCGATCACCCCGACGGCATCAGAATAGAGAACTGTAGAGGCAGCTAAAGCTCCAGAGATCTAGAAATGGCAGACCGACTTGTCTACTCTCCGCTTCGGACTGCCTTGTTAATCTCGGTCTTGGCAGTCCTATCAAGTATTCTTTCTTCCTCTCTTCCTTCCTCTGTTGTAGTGTTAACTGTATGTACAGTGACTGTGTGGATTACCAACTCGTGTTTCTGCGTTCAGGCGTGCATGGCATCGGCGTCAACTACGGTTTGGTTGGCGACAACCTACCCAAGCCCAGCGCGGTGGTGGATCTCTACAAATCCAACAATATCGATGGCATGAGGATCTTTAATCCAAACCATGACGTCCTCGAAGCCCTACGAAGATCCAACATCACACTCATCGTTGGCGTTGAGCACAAAGATCTCCAACCTCTGGCCTCCGATGCTTCCGCAGCTACCAACTGGGTTCAGACCAACATAGTACCCTACTCGCCCAGCGTCTCCTTCCGCTACGTAGTCGTCGGCAACGAGGTCATCCCCGGAGATTTGGCGCAGTACGTCTTCCCCGCCATGCAAAATATCCAAACCGCACTCGATTCCGCCGGCCTACAAGTCAACGTCTCAACCTCGGTCGCGCTATCTGTTCTCGGCTCATCGTATCCTCCCTCCGCCGGTGCTTTCACTCCGGAAGCACAAACCTACATGAAACCCATCATACAGTTTCTCGCCGGCGGTGGATCCCCGCTCCTCGTCAACGTGTATCCTTACTTCGCCTACAGAGACAACGCTGATCAGATCGCGCTGTCCTATGCCCTGTTCACCTCCGAAGGAGTGGTGGTGACTGATGGAGCATATGGTTACAAGAACCTGTTCGACGCAATGCTGGATGCGACCTATGCGGCGATGGAGAAGGTGGGAGGGAAGGATGTGGCCGTCGTGGTGACCGAGAGTGGCTGGCCATCAGATGGCGGCTTTGCAGCAAATATCAGCAATGCTCACACATACATCCAGAATCTGATCGATCACGTTGGGGAAGGAACACCAAGAAGACCTGCACCGATCGAAGCCTACATATTTGCCATGTTTAACGAGAACCAAAAGGAAGCAGGAACGGAGCGAAACTTCGGTCTCTTTTACCCGGATGAGCAACCCGTCTACCCATTAAGCTTTGTTTAGCCAAAACATGGTGGAAGAACTCATTCCTATATCTCAAAACGCAAAACCATAAGGCACCGGAAGAACTCCCAAAATTCTGGTCCTTCAAGTCTCGCACTAGGGAATACCCATGTTTAGGAAACTTAGAAGGGTTATCTTTCTCGATGAATCAACGCTGTTAGGGCTCACCAAATAAAGAAGATATTTTCCAATCGAATAATGCACTTCTTATTATGAACATCGGCATCTGTGTGCCTTCACATGTGGATATATCAGTTGTAATTATAGGGAGGAGGGGAGATGAACTTAGTGGTGAGAATTGCAATGAAGAGATAAATGAATCTGTATGTGAATCATGTCATATAAGAAGAATTTAGTGATACGAATATTAATCTTACTAGTTCTGGGGTTGTAGTGATGTGAATGCTGCTCCAACAAGGAAGGCCTAAGCCGATACGAAGGAGACACCTCGAAGGAATAACTCATATACGAATTATGCACTAAAATATATTGTTCGGGGTTTGGATCCAAATCGAGTCTAGAGTCCGAGCTCGTCATAATAAGCTTTGGAGTTAAGGATGAAGTGGTTTTCTAAGGTCTCCTATAAAAATCACATATGATGCTTAAATTAATAAAGAAATTGGGGAATTCATAAGAAGAGTTGGTGTACACTCAAATTATTCGAGATAGTCATAGAAAAACACCTTAGGCCTTTTTATGGAGAGCTTTAATAACTATAGGAATTAAGCGAGGAGTTAAAGTATAGAAAATCGATGGTACTTATTAGTCATTACTTGATCGTGACAACGTTAATCAAATTGTTAAACATTACGATTAGTGCAAGCAAGGTCTATGTAAATAGGGCAGGGGAGCACGACTATCATGTTAGGATGATTAGGTTCTTGAGGTGGCATTGAGTCAGCATTAATGTGGGCATCACACTTCATCGACGTATCGATTGATAAGGTATTTGATAAGACATGATGTGGTGTTGGATCATCTGCACGTTAAAAACTCATTCTTTATCTACGGGGCCACACCATAGTTGGTGGGTGTTGTTACCATCGTTATAGTCACTCAAGAAGAGATCAGGAATATTTTATGATTGAATTCAAGGATGTTTCATGATTTAAAAGGGTACATATTGACATTAGCTTTGACTCGATGACTGGCTTGCTAGCTCACTACCAATTGGACGTTGATGTGGGCAGAGAAATGCCCACATCCCCCTTCCCTATGACAGACGGTAGGGCAACAACCTTTCACTTTCCCATATTACGATTTTGGGATACAAGTCGACTACCCGGAACAGTAACTCCCTAGTGGCAAAGCCTATATGCTCCTTTCCTAGTTGATTGACACAGTCGATCGCCTTCTGCTTATTTCGGGTGACTGCCAAACAAGTGACACCCCCATAGTTGTCCCATAGTTGTCCTTCGTTGACAATGCATTACATGGATCGTACCATCTCGCCGTCTAGGTAAATGAGTTACAAAGATGGTATACGGGCTCGTCCCCATCAATTATAAATCTCCCTTCACATACTGTCTAGGTATAAAAGTCAATCTTCAAAGCAAGAAGAGGGGATTGGACTTAAGACTTCCACTATTCATACTATTTATGCACTATACATTCTTCCTAGTTTACTTGTCCTCATAGTGCCTCTTATGTGAATGGTTGGACATTCCTCTAAATGCAAATCTCAAATGCCCGCTCTTTTAAATGACTTCTTTTCCTATATCTTCATACATGTTTCTCTCAAACGGTCATGCGTGTTGGTTACCCTCAATGTAGCCTCCCCCATATTTGTATACCAAGTATTTCTATATGTACTTGTCCTACTCTAATACCAAATGTCATGAATTTAGTTGATTTTGCCTAAGTCATGCGACACCCTTGCATGTCCGTCCATAAAGGTTAATCTCTCTGAAACCTCCCATGGTCCCTTAGGATCTATAAAAGAGAAAATAAGTTAGAAAAAACGTTTCACTCGGGATCCATAAGTAATTATTTTAGCAAACATTTCATAACCAATGCAAATTACATATATACTTTACAAGATCTGAATGATCGCACAACAAATGGTCCAAAATGGTCAACTATAGATCAAAATACCCACAAGTGCTCATATAACACAACATTCATTTACAATAGAATCATTGTCTAATAATGAGGTATTATCAACCATCAAGTATTCCGTGAGCGGATCAATCAGTGAATTTATTCTCCAATGAAGACCTGCACTGTAGCCTTAGTGTCCATATACAAGCAGCTATGAGACCAGCTGCCTCCATCATATGGATGGGTATATAGTACACCAGTCTATCCGGTTATATCGATGTCCCTCTTGAGTAACATATGACCATAATTATTTAGGGCCTATGTTTAAAGGTGAATCGGTCTCATTATCATGATTTCATCATGATCCGATTCTCATTGCACAGATCCAAAGATATCACAATATATATATATATATATATATATATATATATATATATATATATATATATATATATATATATATATATATATATATATATGCAACAAGCAATATCAAGTGAGAAAATATCATAATAATAAAAAGCAGAAAGACTATTATCATGTCATACATGTTATCACTCATGTGATTGACTTATAGGGCACCTATGATTAGCAATCTCCCACTTGACCTAAAGTCAATTACCTTTATATCTGATCCCCATCAGACCCCTATGACGCTCAAAGATAATATGAGATAACAACTTTATCAGTGGATCTACGAAGTTATCTTTGGATGAAACTCTTTCCACTACTACATCTCCTCGAGCTACGATATCTCTAATAAGTTGGAACCTCCTTAAAACACTTATGATGAGACCTGAGTTACCTCATTTGAGTAATCACCCCGTAGTTATTATAATATAAGGGAATTAGCTCTTAGATCTATGATGTACTTCTTCATCCAAACTCCCTCCTTTGCTGTCTTTGTCGCAACAATGTACCCCGTCTTTATGGTCTAGTCAGCAATAATATCTTACTTTGAACTCTTTCAGCATACTATTCCATTCAGGGTAAACACATAACCTGAATTAAACTTGCTATTATTGATATCAGACTGGAAGCTCGAGTCCGTGTAGCCCTCAACCCTAAGGCTACTTTCTCACCATATTAGTAAAAGATTCCTAGTCCTTCTCAAGTACTTAAGGATCCACTTTACTGTTTTTTAGTGCTTCAAGCTTGAATCCACCTAATACCTGCTCACGACACTCAGAGCATGTGTTATATCAAACCTAGTATATAACATAGCATACATGATAGATCCTATGGCTAAAGCATAGGATATCCTATGAATGTTTATCCTTTCTTTAATAGCCTTTCGGGACATACCCCTAGAAAGCGATATCCTATGTCTCATCGGTATGAGAATTCTCATAGAATTTTTCATGTCAAACCTTTTGACAATGGTGTCTATATACCTGGATTGGGATAAGCCAAGCATCCTCTTGGATCTATCTCTATATATCTCAATCCCCAAGACATAGGATGCTTCCCCTAAATCCTTCATGAAAAAGTGTCTAGATAGCTAAGCCTTTACTATAGAGAGCATTCATATATCATTCTTAATGATTATGATATTATCCACGTATAGCATCATAAAGGTAATAGCGCTCTCACTTACCTTTATGTACATGCAAGGCTTATATTTATTCTTAACAAAGTCTTAAGATCTGATCACCTCATCAAATTTTATATTCCAACTTTGGAAAGCTTATTTTAGTCCATAGATGAGCCTAAGCAATCTGTACACCTTATTTGGACTATCCTTAGATATGAATCTCTTAGGATGTATCATATATTCCTCCTCCTCGATATTGTCATTAAGGAACACAGAATTCGTATGGATTTTAGCATGACTATAAGTGAGAAGGTTTCGCCATAATCAACACCATGCCTTTAACAATAATACTCTTTAGCCACTAGCCTTGCTTTATAGATCTCCACATTTTTATCTACTTTAATGTTCTTGTTAAAGATCCATTTGCAACCAACGAGTACAATACCCTCAGGTGCATAAACTAGGTTCTAAACATTGTTGGAGTACATGAAATCCATTTCAAAATTCATGACTTTTTACCACTTCCCAGAGTCTATACTCGTAATAGCCTCTTTGTAGGTATGAGGATCAATATCCTCTCCTCTGATATGTCCCATATATCTCTCAGGAGAATGAGGTACTCTACCGAACCTACGTAAAGTTGGAACCTGTGTACTAGGTACCTGAATAGACTCGGGTTGTGGAGTAGTGCTTGAGCTTAGTTCTCTAACCTCACTCCTATTAGATCTTATTCATAAGATCCAATAATTCAGGGTCTTATTGGATATCCAATAAGATAAGGGCTCCGACGAATATCTTATTTCCATAATAATTTACTCGACTCATCGATTGCGGATGTACTATGCCACTACGTCGTAATCCCCATATGATATAGTGAAATCTAATTTTTTGAATCTATATATCCTTAATTATCATGTACCTATAGTCCCTCATCCATCTAATATCCTAGAGACTGTATATCGGGTATGGTACTATCAAGCCCATACAGTTTCTTCTCGAATTTTGCTCTAATCGAATTCTCTCGGAAAACTCTTTCTCTCTCAATCCGAATAACCTTAGTCAAGGATTTGTTTGAACAAGAATATATGGGATATTTCTCTCTTAATACCGAGAGCGGATGATCCTCTATCGATACTCAATAACCCTCGTAAGGTTAGTTGCTACTCTTGATGACTAGCTATACTAGATTTGGAACTTCCAAACTAAGTTTAGTATCAAAGAATGAAGTACTTATATAGGATATCATTGATATCTTAAGTCTAAGGACCAGATATACTACTGGGATGATGGAATCGCTGTCTGATAATGAGGTATCATTAATCATCTAGCATTCCATGAGCGGATTAATCAATGAACTCATTCTCCAATGAGCACATGTACTGTAGCCATAGTATTCATACAGTATATCAGTTTGTTCGGTTATCTCAATGTCCCTCTCGAGTAACCTATGACTAGGATTATTTATGGTCTGTGTTTAATGGTGAATCGATATCATTATCGTGATCTTATCACAATCTGATTCTCATTGCACAAATCTAAGGACATCATAAT